TCTTTGTGTTTAAGAGAAGAGAATTGACCAAAATTAGAGAAGGTCCAGTATAGAGAAACTTATTTGGAACCGAAGTTTTGTATCACACCTAAACTAAGAATAAGTATGAAAGTTTATGAACAATGTTTAACAAAGATATTTTAGCCTCGGAGATTTTAGATACTTATTTTATTTGATATCTACTTACTGAGTTTTTGCTCATTAGTTTTACCTTGTGATGCAGATGATGTTGTCATTACCGAAGCGTAAAACATGATTTCTAAGGTTGGCTGAGTACTCCAAGTCCTATGTCTGGCATCTTGCTTATATGTACTTCCAAACAATAGATGGGCCCAAAATGCTTTTTTTTTTTCGTTACTATGTCGGTTTTGAATAACTATTTAATGTTTAAAATTTGTGGTTGTAATCATTTTATACACTGACTCATTTTGTTCAAAAACCTTTATAAAAATCTTGTGATGAAATCAACCATAAGTTTTCGCATCTTAAAAATGACATTGTTTTAAGTATAAAAAGTATGTTTTAAGTAGCACAAGCTCGCTAAATTCGACCTTAGATCCGTTTAGCGTTGGGGGCGTTACAGATTTGCTGTTAAAATTTTTTTTATTTGATGGTTTTCTTTGAAAGTTGTCGAGATTTTGTTTTGATGATTGATATTTCTGGATTTGTTTTTGTATTGGCATTATTTTAGGAGTATTCTATGATTGATCTGATTAAATATTAAAAGTCAACTGATACTATCTTTTTGAAAAGTTTTGCATGTTTGGAAACTGTTTAAATCAATCAATTTGATTTGATTCTTCCAAAGTCAATTTTTAGCGACTTTTGGTAAGTTGAAATTGATGGGTTAATTGATTTTTTTTTTTTTTTAAAATCGATGGGATAATCAATTTAAAGAAGTGATTGTGCTGGGTTGTTTGAATCTTCTATACTTATGTGGAATACGTCAAGGTTCATTTGTTTTTATATAGGAAGATTTTATGAATTAGCAATGTTGACCTTTGGATCAGCTTGACAACTTTGTTGCAATAGTTGTTACAACAAAATCTACAACAAATTGTGTGCAACGTTTGACTTTGAAGAAACTTGACAGCTGTTTAATTTAACTATTTAATTAAAGTCTCACATTAGTCTCAACATGTCTTTAGAGCCTCAATTTTATAGAGTTAAAGATTATTGTGAGCACTTGTAATTTTTATTTCTTCGGGAGAACGAATTTTGGTTTTTGGGGAGAAAAATTTTGTTGAAGAGATTTCAATTTTGTAAGTCGGCTGGTTCTCGCTGAGCAAGTCCGTTAAGAAATTTCAGTTCATAGGTGTTGCGTGATTTATGTGTTCGCAAGTGCACGAGTCGCGTCAAGTAATAAAGTGTGAGTAGAGTATCGTTCCCACGGAGAAAGTTATCAATATATTTTTCTTAATAAGATCCAAGAGATGCAATGTAAACAAATTTAATGGTTTGATTCAATTATAAAGACTACAAGAATTGCAATAAACACGAGTAAATAAATGCACACTAAGTTATCAAAGGAGAAAATCAATATATGTGAAAACTGGGACTCAATTTCCCCTTCCCTGCAATCTGGCTATTTATGCTACGACTTTTGCTACAGCAATGCTGTCAGTTAACCTAAAACACGAATTTAACACAAGAATCTTCTGATCTGGTTGTGATTTCTCCTCTTTACTCATATTTCAACATATTCCTATGAGAAATCTAAACATAGAGGTTAAGTTAAGCGTGAGTTTTAATTGGGCTATGTGAGGCAAGTGTATATTCCTATACTACTCGCAAATCAACTAGATTTCTCTGTGAAACTTAGCTAAACAACACATTGTTCAACATTGGTCTAAATCCAATCAACTTTCCAGCAAATTGAACTCACAATATTCTATTTAAGATGGCTAGTCAGTAAACAGAAATGAACAATAACGTTTATATTAAACAAACTAGAACAACATCAAAATAGACAAAGTGAGCATAAACAATCGTTGATTACAATTTCGGGTACTTTATCATCCCAGTCAAATAAATTTAGCTCATACTGGCTCTGTTAATTTCAACAAAATGAACAACCATGAGTTGAATACAGAGAAAGAGGAAAGATAAACCAAAATGAGGAGGACAATAGTAGAGGCTAGATGAAGCTTGGTGGATTCCTCCCGTGGCTTCAATCCCTGAGATTTCCAGCACAATTGCTCTCCTCCGTACTGGCTTTTTCTTTCTTTCTTTCTCTCTGGTTTTTTTTCTTTTTACACTCTACTGCCCCCTTCTTTTCTTTACTCCCGTATCCCCCTATTTTCTCCTCTTGCTTCCTTGCCAAAAATTCCTTTCTTTGGCGGCTGCCCCCTCTCTTTGAGTCTTCAGATGCATCCCTCTCTAGGGCAACCCAAGACGCTGAGGTGGAATGTTGGGTCCAGCTGACTAGGCACCAATTTTGTCTTATGTGTTCTGTGTCCTAATTCCCATGCATGCTGTCACATTTTTGCTGCAGCAATTGCTGCAACATTTATTATCACAAAACCTGCAAGCTTAGAAACGACATTCTTTTGGATACAAGTCAACAATTTTCTTCCAAATTACCACAGAAACGGCACGCAATTGACTCTCAGTAGAGTGCACCAAATGAGCCAAAAGCTGAGCAAATAAAACAGAAAATTAACAACTAAACCTTTGGGTGAGCCAACTTTAAGCCTAGAAATGCCTAGAATAACTCTATTTTCTAGAGTTATCAATAGGCGTCTTATCTTGAGAGAGAGAGAGTCCTAGATAGTTAAAGTCCAATTGAGTTGTAATTTTGAGCTCTTAATAGATTGTTTATCATCTGAGTGTGATCCCGTAAATATAGGTAATTATCAAATTGTGATAACAATCTTTTGTGTCTTTTTATTGTTATAGGTTTCTTATTTATTTGTTGAAATAAATTTAATGACGAACTTAATATAAAGACTCAAACTAGTACTATCAAAAGTCTTTAAAGAGAAGGTTTAGAGAACATTTGGTTGATAGATTCAGAATCATGAATAAGAACCATTCTTGATTTACGTGTGTTTTTTATGAGAAAAAATACTGTAATGAACCACAAACCATGACACGAATTCTTGAACCAAACACACTCTTAGTCATGCTAGCTCACTTATCCTAACACCAATATCGATCACCCTCCCCATCACGACTTTTGCTTAGAAAGGAAAAAAAAGAGTTAAAATGTATGTAATTAATCAAGGTTTTGAAGCACTTAAGAAGAACTAACAAAAGATGGTATTTGCTTGAGAGATATATCGTTTTGAATTCTAGGAGACGTTTAATAAGGGAATTTATACCATAATTTGAATCATGATTCATGATTTATTACAATATTTTTTACATAAAAAATATACGTAAATTAAAAATAATTCTAATATTATGATTCTAATCTATGAACGAAACGTCTTCCTAATCTTTAGTAGACAGCAGCGTCTAAAGAACATAAACGACAAGTAGTTGTCCTTTAAAGTTTAAAGTCGTATGTCGTTAAATACATTGCGTTTGCATAGGCGGAAGCAATAAAACGACATCTCGGTTTTTATATCTTAGATATTTCTTAATAAAATTTTAAAAGAAAAAACTGATAATATTGAGCAGAAAATTATACCTACAAGAAGAGGGGACGGTGAGGCTCTAATCCTCTATTCAGAATTCACTGGAACCCCTTTCAGTCTTCTGCAGCTGCCTCACCAGCGCCGAAGCCTCCGACCAATAAGCCTAGCAGAAATCCAGTGAAGGTACCGCCATTTTCTCTCGTTTTGTTAATCCTCTTTTTCTTTCTTTTTTTTTTTTCTTGAAATTTCTAGACATTTGAAATGGTTTCGGTAATTAGCCTCTGGAAACTTCTTTGCTTTGCTTTTGGTATCTGTCTGAAGCTCCGATGAAACTCAGAAGCTTTTTATCATCTGGGAACAAAAAATTATGCCTTAATGCTAGTGTATGAGTGGATTAGTGGGAATATCCGATTTTTTTTTTGGGTTTTATTATTTATTCTCATTAACTTACTTGACTGAATGATTGAATCTTGATGTGGGTTGGCGATGAAAATGAAGAGTAAAATATAGGGCCGACAATATGGGTTACGACACGACGACACGACTCGAAAATGATACGAATTTTACGTGTTAGGGTTGAGAAAAAAGAGATTCGGGTCAGAATTAGGTCGACCTAAAATTGACATGAAAAATACGGATCAATTTCGAGTTGGACCCGCCTAATCCGAACACAACACGAAACTCGTAAAAAGCTAAAAAATAAATATATTTTTCATTTTATATTTTAAATTTTATTATGAACTTGTGATATCATGATAGTTATACTCAAAATCTTATATTATTATTTGTTTAATTTCAATGGATGTTATTGTAATTTAGTGTGTTATGAATTTTAAGTTATTTTTAATATATAAAAAACTAAATAAAAGTATACAATTTTCGTGTCAATTTCGGGTTCACGTGTCAATTTCGTGTCACGGGTCATTTTCGGGTCGTGTCGTGTCAACTCGTAAAGTGATCGTGTCGTGTTCGTGTTACGGTTTTTAAACACGACACGTGACATGAATTGTCACGTTTACTAAAATATGTATGTGTGTGTACACACACGGGCTTAATCTGCGTGGTTTGTATGTCGCTTAGGTAAAAAGAAAAAAAATGGTCCTATGCGTAGTTTTGGACATCTGTTCATTAGTTGGTTTCATGTGTTAAAAATACAACCTTACAAACTCTTACAAATAAAATAAGAAAATAGGACTGATAAAAATAAAAATAAAATTATAGTATTTTAGGTAGTAATATCTCAGCCCTTGGTTTCAATGCATTTTGAAAAAAAAAAAAAAAAAACCCTAGATCATCAGGGGTCCCTTCCCAGCCCCCATCCCCCATCCCCAGCCGTCCACCCTTCCCCTGTGCGATTCACTGAGCACTTTTGCGAGTGGATTGAAGCCATCCACAAGCAAAGCACCTCCACGGTTGGTTTTCTGTTTGTAATTTTTGTAATTTATGTTTGAAGTTGGGATTTTGTGGTGAAAAAGCCAAGTCTTTGAGGAGATGTGAACGATTCTGTTATAGTCGTTCATTTCCCTTTGCTTCTATGATGGGATTTCATTGTTTTCACAAATGTCAAATTTGGTTGCTTTGGAATGGAAATCTTAGCTCATTGGATAATAATGGCTATGGTCGAGTTTCTCTATTTGGGTTGTTCTTATTTTATTTTATTTTTTATTTTTTATTTTTTATTTGTGCAAAATGGGTTGCCTTGTGAAGAATGTAGGAGTGGGAACAATGTAGATAATAAACAGACCTATTTAGGGGAAAATAGAAAACAGTAGAATGACAAGGAGGGGATTTTCGTTAAGTTGCGTCCGAGCTTGCGGTTGTTGACTATAAGAATGAAAAAGGCTGCAATTGTGTTCTTCTTGGTTTGAAGTTGAAGTTGGGTTTATAGATTATTGAAGCTTTGTGTTTGAAATTTTAATTTGAAGTTTAATTTAGGAAATAGAAATTAGTTTATGGAACTCATTTTATTTAATTGTTTGATTGTTCAACGAATTATATTGTTTTGAAAAAAAAAAAAAATTCAAGCAAAAAGGTATATGCCCTATAGTGTTCAAGGTGTTTCAATTGCTTCAAGTGATTAATGATGATTACAGATAAACGCCATACATTTCTGATGAACAGGTTCTTCTTTGATTGTTGATTTTATCCTGTTTTTCGCTTTAGTGAAGAATGGTGGGACTCTGATGTTTTATCACAAAACTGATCTTTCCTAGTTCTGAATTCTGTTTTCTTGTTATATTTCTATTGTTGTGGTTTAGTTCACTATAATGCAAAACCTATGTTTGTGGAATTGTAATTTGTTGGGCTCATTTTGGTGTGTGTAGGTTTTAAGACACAGACATGAATGCCTTCAAGGCTTTCAAAGCCTCTGTCCCCATTGCATGGAGTCCCAACCTATACATCACCTTGGTGAGAGGTATTCCAGGGACCAGAAGGCTTCACAGGCGTACTTTAGAGGCATTACGTCTTCGCAAGTGCAACCGAACTGTCATGCGATGGAACACCCCTACGGTTAGGGGAATGCTCCAACAGGTTTCCCATTAACTTTCATTCATTGCTTGAATTTTCCTCATTTCTATGCAGCTGCTAGTATTTAGCACTCTGTATCTTTTCCTTCAGGTCAAGAGATTAGTTGTTATTGAGACCGAAGAGATGTACAAGGCCCGGAAACAAAAGGAGGCGAACCACCGAGCTTTGTGTCCCCCATTGTTCATTAGTCACCTACCTCCTCCTGCAAGTACCTCTTCCTAAGGGCCCGTGTAATACATCGGAAGGTCAGGTCTAAGAGTAATAGATGCCGGTTTGTAGTATGGGGCAAAAAAATACTTATGATGGTGTAATTTCTGTGAGCTGCCAATCCTATTCAGTTGTGGGTTTGATGTCATTTTTATTCTGGGTAAGAAATTCTATGATGTCTCTCAACTAGGTGTACTCAAGGGTAATAAAATTTTGTTTCCCAGAAGTAAACTGCAACCAAGAACCCCATCTATTTGCATATGCAATTTGGTAAAAGCTTTGTTTTTGTGAATGACTTGAGGCTAATTTCAGATGTTCAGCTTGAATATATCTTTCTTTCATATATTACTCTTTGGATAGCCAATCCCATTATCACATTGTTATCTAAAACACTAAAATCTCTAATAGGGCATACAAACAAGAAGAATGAATAAGTGCAAAATGACTAGGGAGCACATGGGTTCCCTTTTTCGTTGCCTGTCTCTTGGGCTACGAAAAACATCATGTCTCAAGTATAACAAGGCCAATATATAAATAGAACACTAAGATTTCTTTGAAAGTGGATATTTTTAATTTTTAGGGCCCCTCCATGGCTATTTTCTCTCCCAACTTCTCTGCTGTAACATCATTTGAGCTCTTAAGCTCCTTTTCTTCGCTGTCATCTGGGCCAAGGTAGTGCTGTTCTTTGTACTGATGTCTTGATGCAAAGATAAGAAAAACACCAAAATTCAACAATACTAGCACAGCTAGTAGCCAATAGAAGTTTTCTAACCTCCCTCTGTTCAAGTTACTCCTGAGCCAGCTTTTGTTGGTCACTTTATCCACAAGGGAAACCAATAAACTGCTGACAAAGAACCCCATTGAGAGGGTGCTTAGGAAAAGCCCTGTGCTCATGGACTTCATCCTTTCTGGTGCCTCTCTGATGAAAAACTCCAATTGCCCAACATACGCAAAAGCTTCCCCGGCACCCACCAGAAAGAACTGAGGGACTAGCCAGAAAGCGCTTAGAATCGCATCATGGTGAATAGAAAATTCCCTTCTTTGTTTTTCGACAATTGCAGCGGCCACCATAGCTACCATTGACAAGACAAGTCCGATGCCAATCCTCTGAAGGCTTGTGAGTCCTTGGGGGTTGTGGGTGAGTTTCCGAGCAAGCGGGACAAAGATCTTTTCATTCATCGACGTGAAGAGGAGAATGGATATGAAGACAAAAGTGGAGAAAGAGCCCGAAGGGACAACGAACGAGCCAATGTTTCGTTTCATGAAGGTGGCTTGCTCGATTGCGAAGGTACTAATTTGAGAGTAGACAGTCCAGAAGAGGATACAAGTGGACCAGATGGGAATGAGCTTGAGAACCATTTTCACCTCTTCAATTTGGGTGACTGTGGATACTATCCAAGGGTTGTTTTTGTTCTCACCACTACCAGCGTAGTCGTCCAAAATCGCAGCTTTATCCAGACACCTAAGCATTCACATGCGATGGAAAGGAACCTTATTAATGTCGATGACAGATAATTCTAAATAGCATGGAAGTTACTTGTTTATGTCCGCTTATAGAAATTGATCAAAATAGGGCTTAAAGATAAAAGTCTTAAAGTTAATGATTGCCTGTTGCTCGTACAATCTTATAGTTGATAATTACCAAGATTGATATATTTATTTCATTCCTCTTCCTTTCTTATTCTTACCAAGACTCATTAACTAGTTTTTACTTAATGAAAATCAGTCAAACAATCATCTCCATACTCGCATATATCAGTTAACATTGCCTGAAAATTCTATCTCATCCCTATCATAGATAGCTTCATTGAAGGTTATATAACTTACTTGAACTTCTCTGTGTGTGGGACCCTTGCTTCATGGTACTTATTCAAAAGGCTTGGATGAGAAGGATAAGGTTGGTTTCTCTTCTTCCAAGCCAGGAATATCACCCTCCATATTACTGTTAAAGGACTTCCACGGGGCTTCTTGAATCGATAAAATGGCGTCCCGCTGAGCAACACAAGAACTGCAAGAACCATTGTCCCTGCTGATATTCCATAACCCCAACCTCTTCCCACATTATCTTGCACATAAACCAGTACAATCACAGCAAAAAGAGACCCAATGCTAATACAAAAATAGAACCTATTGAAGAAGAAGATCATGGCCTTCTCCTCCTTGGGGTCTGAAACATCGAATTGATCAGACCCGAAACCCGAGACATTCGATTTTATTCCACCTCCACCGAGTGCTATTGTATACAAAGCTGCATAGAGCAACGCAAGTTGATTTCCATTGGCCTCAATGCACTGATGGTGTAGATTTCTGTAGTTGTCACATGGAGGCGGTCGCATACCAGAAATTGTTGTGGCCAGTGTTAAGATAATAACCCCCTGTAGTAACATAAAATAGCATGAGCCCTAACACTTTAGAGTGAGAATTTTGTGTACTTTGGGGGGGTCAAAAAGACTTACAATTGCAGTTATGGTTGCAGAGAGTACAACGGTGAGATACCGGCCAAGTTTAGCATCTGCTAAGAAGCCGCCAAGAAGGCCGAGGAGATTGAGAGTTCCCATGAAGTTGGTGACAATTGTTGCAGATTTTGCTGATGAAATATGCAAATTTCCAACCAAGTAGGTCACCAGATTCATTGATATGCCCATGACACATATCCTCTCAGAGAGTTCTACTCCTGCAAACATATTATGACACATGCTAATTCATGAGCATGGAATCAATGATTTCGAAAATGTTAAAAACAACATTTGTTCAAGTTGATTTAAAGCACCTAAGGCAAGCCCTGCGCCAAGCCATCCACCGGTCTTGGACTTATCCGCGGGGTTCCCGCGAAAATCGTACACAGCTCCATCACTTCCTCCTCCAACTTTCTCACCGTGTGATGAGACCAAAACCTGTCAACAAGCAAGAGAAAAGTTGAAGGAAGTAGAAAGAGAGAGAAATCCTATAACAAGTTTATCGAACTCATCAAAGAATTTGAGTAATTTGAGCAAGTTTATCTACCATCTTTGTTTCAGCAGCAGAGAAGAGGACAGACTAAGACTACTTTTAGCTGCTGATTAGCTATATTGGCTCGTAAAGATTGATAGTATTATGGAAATGCATATAAGATTTGAACTTGGAAAGAAGAGTTCTTATAAGATATGAAAGCTATCAGCTGGCCCTAGCCTCCACAACTTCTAGTGGTGAAGAATGGTTTAGAGGAACTGCATTAAAAAAGAGGAAAAATAAAAGCCGTGGAAGTTTTGGCAACACCTTCGAGGACGTTTAGTTGATAGATTCAGAATCATAATTCAGAATCTATTCTTGATTTACGTGTATTTTTTGTGAGAGAAAACACTGCGTTTGGTTCAAGAATTCGTATCATGGTTCAAATCATAGTTCGTGACTCGTTACAATATTTTCTCTCACAAAAAATATACGTAAATCGAGAATGATTCTGAATCATAATTCTAAATCCATCAATTAAACGTCTTCTATGATCAAACAGACTCTTGAGAGAGACAATTGCTTTCTAAATTTGATTCCTCTCTCTTCTATTATTACCAACCACTATATGGCACTTGGACGCTTTGATTTGTGTCATGGGAGATTTGCATAGTAACACGGAGATAAGTGAAACTAATCCGTTTTGCCAAGGGCCCGTTTGCATATATAGTTATCATGATGATTTTGATTATTATTATTATCATCATCACCATTTTTCATTGCTGGAAGGGGACTATCTAACACTTGAACCTTTAGCCACAAACTCAACCACAGTTTGCTATTAACAGTGATAAACCGAGAAATTTTTATTAGTGGGGAGTAAAAACTAAAAAAATAATGATGACATCATAAGAACAAATTTTTAATATCTTGATATCTTAAATTACACATTGACATATACGTTTTTTTTTTTTCAATAAATAAATTGAATTGGGTCTTGAGTCCCCACTAAAAATATCCGTGGATCATGATAATTTGAATGGACACAACCAAATATATATGATATGATTAAGTACTGTTTAAAGCTGATATTTAGCGTAAGTAAACTATATTTATATCTATTATACCATTAATGTGTCTGTTTATTCTTTTGTCATGCCAAACTGATGATACATATTTATTTATTAAATCCTAAGCGTTACTGATTTTGTTTAGCAGTGCTTAAAAGCTTGGTAGCATTTTGCTGTGTGGTCATAAGCTCATAACGATAATTAGGGATCCGGATTCCTTTGCAAGTGTGCAACTAACTAAACATGCACACACAATATATATGAATATCAACTTCTTCAAAATGATGACTCTTTTAAGATTTACATAATAAACAATGCAACTATAGTGTTTAGCAAATTTGTATAAAAGTACTTTGCACATAAATCAATGTATTTTTAAGTTATTTTAAGAAGTTAGAATGTGTAGTTTTTAAGGGTGTGTTCGGCAACCTCAAAAACTAAAAAAAAAAGATAACTCGAGTTATAACTTTATTCAAGTTCATGTTCTTTTAAGTTTGAACTCGAGTTTGAGACTAAAACTCGAGTTCAAGTTTTCCCTTCAACTCGAGTTCAGAAACTCGAACTCAAATTAATGAACAATATTTTTTCTATTCTTAAAAATGTTATAACTTTTTCGTTTTAATCTTGATTGAGATGATTTTTTTTTCTATGTGTTTACAACAAAAAGACGAATAAAATCTCACCCATATACCCTATTAAAATTTTTCATCACCATTGAGTTTTTATTAAAATACTATCTAAATACAAATTTAAATTTTGACTCACTCAAACACAAATTCAAAAAGATTCTTATCTCAAACTATAACTCAAATGTACACAACCAAATACAAACTCAAGTTACAACTTCAACTCAAATTATAACTTAAACTCAACTCAAAATCTTCACTCAAAAATGCCTAATTCAAAAATGCAAAAGAACTGTCCCTAAATTTTACTTCTACTTTTATTTTTACTTTAAGTAAAATCAGTGTTTCTATTAAAAGCACAATAATTATTTTAAAGGCACAGTTACTCTAAACTGACCATAGCTTAGATTGACATTTTGGATTTGCTAGTGGGGAATTCATTATTGTTTCACGAGACATGCCTAATCCGCTGTTACGTGGCTAATGACAAATATCTTCTGCACTGTTCCAATTTCATGTTCACTAAAATTTGTCACATATCAACAGGACAAAGGCATCAAGATAGAAAAGTAACTTTCTTTTTTTCCCTAAAGATACACATAATTGTGCATTGAGGATCTCTTTGTTTGCCCTTTTGGCTCTCTTTTTTTTTTGACTAGGTAACGCTGCTCCTAAATGATTGATGCATAACCTTTGTTGCATAGCAATGATTGATAATGGTCTTGGCTGAATCAATAGTTATCAGAAAGTGCAGCAGAGCAATATATATTGCGGATTCATTTTCTTAATCTTGCAAGAGTTTTCAAGTAGAAAAACTAAGGTCCGTTTGATAAAGAGATTTGGAACGTGATGGTTTAAATTTTTGCGATTTAAAATGGAAAGTTTAGATCATGTCTTCGAATTTTTGCTTTGAAAATTGAAACATTGAAAACGGACAGAGGAAAAGGCTAACGTTAAAATCAGAACTCTTATGTTACACAAAATCATTAGTTTGAACCAAGCCTTAAAAAATTTTGCTAAATTAGGCTGGTTCAAAATACTTGAACCTATTTACCAAATAGCCTCTAACCCTTTTGCTGTTTAAGAATTAGTTGTAATTTAGGCTGTTTGAGGGTTAATAACTAGAATCTTGCCTTTTTAAGAATTTGCCATATTTATCAAATGACTTAATCATTAGCCACGGCTATTCCCTGGCCAGAAATTTAACTTTGAAATGCATGAGAAAGTGGTCCAAGAGCCGAGTTAAGTTGTTTTTTGTGTTCTTGTTTGATTTCTTATAATAATAATAATAATAATAATATTATTATTATTATTATTATTATTATCATCAATATTAAGGGGAAAAGGAGATGACAAGAAAACAAAGTGTGTGTACTGAGAAGATGCCAATAGATGTTGGGTGGCATGTATAGGTGGAGTGGGACAGCATAAAACGAGAAAGACGTGAAAGAATGAATTCATCTTTATCATCTTGGACTGGTCCAGTTGCTTCCCCTCTCCTCTTGTCATTTTCAATTTCACCATCAACTGCTGATATGAGAGCAAAAAAAGTGGAATATGTGGTATTGCCTTTAGCTTTTAGGTATGGTTCTTCTTTAATTTTTCAGGTCGGTTGTATACATATTCACGTGAAAAATATCCTGATTTGCAAGGGAAAATACGTACGTACGTACGTACACACACATATGATGTGTATCTTAAGCGATGAGATCTACTATATCCTTAACAAAGTCCACTTCCGAATCAAAACTCACCCTAGAGCCAACGCCTCCGCCACCACTATAGCGTCTCCTTTCAAGACTGACCGGATTGACAATTTCATGTAGTTTCGCTAATTGTTTGATATATATATATATATATATAAGTTTTTTAGCATGTTGTATTATACATAACATAAATTGTCACACTCGGTTTAAGAGAATCGTTTATGACAATTATTAAGTGGACGTAAATCACCTTAACCACTTGTTTCTGTGGGACCAACTTGAGATATTCCTGTGGGAGCCATTTGTTTTATAACAAAATGTGGAAACTCGTGATACTTGGTCGCAGATGATCTTAAATGTGCGGATTTTATTGTCTAAAAGCAGAGAAAGATAACTCTTTCAATAGTGAAATGTCTTCTAAATTCGATCAAATAACTCACATTTGGGTTTGAGTAGAAAATCTGTGATCCCTCTATAAAAAATTATTTGAGAAATGGCAATTTGAACGCATAACTTGCAAGTTGCAACAAATACATCTCTCATAATTAAAAAAAACAAAAAAAAGAAGAAGAAGAAGAAGAAGAAAAAGAAAAACAATTACAAATCTCAAGCTTGAATGTATATCATGATTTACTTTCTAAGATCAATCATTTCACGTATGCATTGCAAATTGCAATGCAACTATGTAAGTCACAACATTCTTATTCTATCTTCTTCTTTATTTTTGGTAGGGTCACAAAATTGTTTTAGCATAAACGCAAAGGAGGAAATAATCACAAAAGTGATTCAGGAAATGGTTTTTTTTTTTTTTCGCCCTGAGCTGACAAGTATCCACTCTTGGGCCAGACGTATAAATTAGGGTCCCTCCATTGTCTCGATGCTTTAGTATCTACATTATCTGAACTCAAAGACTATGTTTTCATATGTGGACAGAAAATAGGAAGCAAGCACAGGTATAATTGTATAAAATGTAAAGTGAAGAAAATGAAATGAATGAAAGAAAGGGATTTTCTTTTATCGCGTTTGTGTGTGTTTGTAATACTTTTATTGTGTAATAAGAAAACAAAAATCATCTCTCCCTCATTTGGTATAGAGAACAAGGGGAGGGTAATATAAAACATATCGTTTGCCAAATTAGTGAATTACAACTATTTTTCCCATATTGGTGCTTACAATAATATTTTTTTTTTCCTGAAGCTTACAATGATGAATTAGTTAGATAGTAATTCTACAAAATACTAGTTTTTAAATTTTTTTTATTTTTATTTTTCTGCTGAAGCTTACAATAGTGAATTAGTTAAATGGTAATTCTACTCAATACTAGACCCCTAATTAGTTTTCTTCCCTCTAGAACTCCTCGCAATAGTTGGTTTCAATCTATACATGCTCCTTCCTACTAGGGCGGTAAGAAATCACCCCGAACCCGACGAACTCGGCCGAGCCGAGCCGACCCTACTCGAAAATCACGGGTTTCTAATTTTTTATTTAATTTTCAGTTTTAATTATGTCCAACCCACATTGTGCGGGTAAGAGCGCGGGGTGGGGTTCCATGAACCTGAGGTACCCTATCAGGCCGAACATGTTCAAAAAGTAGGTAAAATAATGCCCAACCCTAATGGTAATAAGTTTAAAAATCTTCCGAACACAATATAAAGAGCCGAGTCTTTAAATAATTCTTGTTGATTCTTAATTCTTGTTCAGGATGAGTCTATCAAAATTGAGTCTTAGATGAGGTAAGTAACAAAAATAAGTTAAAAAATGGTTTTTTTTCCAAAAAAACTCATAGTTTACCTTAGGTAACCCAGCCGACCCGAGGTACCCGAATGGTATACGGGTATCCTAATTCT